CCTCATAAACCCTAGATTTAAGTTTTGTGATTTTAAGTACTTTGTGAAGCAAATACTGACGTGAAGGCGAGATTGTTGACGTGTGGCTAGGATATTTGATTTATTTTGCACTTTCAGGCTTTCAACAGAGGTTTTCAGGCAAGTTTAATCTCTGCTAACCCTACACCCCTTTTCAAATTAGTTTTTATGAGTTTTTAATGTGGTTTTGTTAAGCCTAAAACCTATTTTCGTGCATAAAAATAGTCTTTATTTATATATGAGATAAAGATCTGATCTTTTCAGAGTTTAAAAGATTATGAACAAATTATCTGAGGTAAATTAAGATCTGAAAATAGTTAAACATGCGTTCTAGATGAGTTTTGATGATTCTCTCGACGTTTTGATGTTTTTGTACATGTTTAGGGTTTGTATATGATATCTCATATAATAATTCTTGTTGCATATGTTAGATTAACTTTAGTAATGGTAATTAAGTATTTAAAATGTATTTTACATGTTTTACAGCAAGTTAAACAAGTTAGAATCACGAACACGACACATGAACACAGCCTGCAGAACTAGGCACCTGGCCTCTGGTCGGTCGACCGCGGCATAGTAGCCGGTCGACCGAATAGCAGATATTCACCTATGCATGTTTTGAGTTGTATTTGTTTGATTCAAGGGATTTTCTCGATCAACCCACATTGTTTTATGTTGTTTGTTGTCTGTGTAACACCTGAGGTGTTTGTGAACATGAAATATAGATCCGCATATCGAGATACGTGCACGAACACTTGATATATGTTCTTATTTGAGTGTACATGAATAGTTGAGATGTATAACACATGTTTAAGTTGATAGTGTTGGAATAATACACACATAATACATAATTCATCAGTGGTGGATGCTAAGTGATGAGTAGTTTTCTCGTAATGAGACCGCGACTGTACCACACTTAGAGTTGGGCATTCTCCCGCAATGAGACCGTAGTTGTATGATACTCTAAGATGATTAGAGTTTCCGGATTAGACTGATATGCCTACACTCCGTTGTATGATCATCTGGATGCATCATTCCGGAATAGAGTGATTTACCTATCTTCGCAGAACGATTGAGTAAGGATGTTGTTTCCACATGATATTGTGAATACCTTATAAGAGTATCGTTATATCATGTAGAGATATGTATATATGTATACATAGTTGTAGTGTTGATCTCATGTTAGATTACCCAAGAGTAGGGTATATATATATATATATATATATATACACACACACACACATAGTTGTAGTGTTGATCTCATGTTAGATTACCCGAGAATAGGGTATATTTATGGATACTTGGCATACATGACATGATCTATGAAGATGTTTATGTTGGATAATATTTTTTGTATGATTGGACCAACTACCCGAGGGTAGTCTAAGATTGTGACATTGGTTCATCATGGTTGAGGTTTGGAGTTGTAGTATTTCTAGCATGTGTTTTTTTTTTCATTTATAGGATTGGAATTTGTATTTAGCGATTCACAATTTGAGACATGGTATATACATGAGGGTTTTCTTGTTTGGATTATTTTGCTCGATTTACTAATTCTCATGTTGTGGGTTTCTGAAGATTAATTTCCACTTAGTGTATTATAGATGGTTTTATATCTATATGTACTAATAGTATTTTCTTATATACTCCTACCCTTCCCCCTGTGGGCGGTGGAGATGATCTCGCCTGCGTTTTGACGCTCATTGTTTCCCCACTTTTCAGGCGACGAGCCAGGCGCTCGGAGAGTCGCAGGTTGATGGAGTTGCATCTTAGCTTCCATCTATTTTATTATATTTGTAGTTATTTTTAGAGCTCCACAATAGTTATTTATTTTTCAGACATTAGAGTTTGTATTTTTATTTTGTAGAGACTGAGTGCCTTAGTGGGATTTTATTTGACTCTTGGGTTGAGACATTATATTGATTCAGTTTCAGAGATATTTTATTCTAGTTTCAGTTGGGTCTTGATGATGGTTATTTATACACTTCTTCTGTGCTTATTCTGTTCATTGTACTACTCTATTGTTCTTTGCATATTTTGTACCTTCACCTGTTTGTTGATTCCACTAGAAAGATAGTAACTGTGATGGTGAAACATGTTGTTACACGGTGTTGATGCAAGGCAAGTTTGACATTCTTGGATTCACCTTGGACTGCAGCCTTGTGTGAATCTAGGGGCGTCACATATGTGGACACTTTAGTTGTAGAAGTTCCTTGCGATTCGTCTAGATTGACTAGATGACAACACGTGAACATGGTAGAGGTAAACAAACTACACTATTGCCATGCACAAGGAGAGGTCATTGATGTCATTTATCACAGAGCAAAAGGATAGTTTGGTTATTGCTAAAATTCTCATAAGAAATTTAGGGGGGTTATTGGTTGGTGTAATTTTGGGGTAAATTGGATAATTTTTGGGACTTTACTTTATGGTGTTATTCATTAGAACAATGGGATTGAGATTTCACTTGAAGGTGTTATTCATTGGGATAATGAGATTGAGATAATTATCCCCACTTTTTCCAAAATTATGCCACTTCAATACAAACTTTTTGTCCCAATCTTCAAAAAATACCATATTCTTTTAACTTTGGGACAATCATGAGGAAAGTGAGATAATTTTGAAATACTAATTTATTAAATATCTAATATATGTTCATTGTACTGTAATATATATAATATATCTTAATTATATTATATTATAAAATTCTATTAAAATGTAGGATAATAAAATATTATATAATATTATCTGATATAACATTATTATATATCATTATTACATATTGAATAATAATATTTCATATATTATAATATTAGTATTATATTATTATAATATTACTTTATATTATTTAATATATGTTTTATTAGTTAGGATAAAAATATTATTGTAGG